CCCACTCCCAGCTTCACCACACCCTACTCCATTATCTCTGCCCCTTTCATTCCTTTGTTAATTTGATGGCCTGAGGACATCTCTGTTTGCAACCCCTGAATGTAGGATATCAAATTTTAAGGTCAAAATGGTCAGTTGGTATTAAAAGGTTAAGTTATGGGGCCTGAAGTGAGTCTTTATTGATTTGCCTGTTGTCAGAGAACTACACTGTCCCCACCTGGACTGCATTTGTCTTGTTCACAATTGTATCCAGGGCCTAGCACTGTGCTCGACACCAAACGGGTCCTCAGAAATATTTACTATTTGAATAAATGATGGAACCTTTTCTCCATCCCCATTATGCTACTTTATCTTTCAACTTCCCTGATTCCCCTGCTTCCAATTTTACTTCCATCCAATGTATACCATTTTCACTCCACTGATTAAAAAAAAAAAAAAAAAATCTTCACGGACTCATTTTGCCAAAGGGCTCAAAATTCCTCAGTTTGACACCTAATGCCATTGATGATCAGGACCCTACCTGCCTTTACCAGACTCACCTTCCTTCACTCAATTTCACATTGTTCCTTCTTGCAACAACAAATTGCTTCTAATTCTCAGGACACACAATGCTCTATCTAGATCCCAAATGTTTAAATTTCCCTCCCGATGGTAATCCTAGGAGACTATGGGGGATGTTGCTTTATCAGCCCATGCTCACCCATCTCACCACACTCCCTGGGATACTCTTGTCTCTGTACTTCATGATACTGCAGTATTTGTGTGTTTGTGTAGGGAGGAGAGTAGAGTTTAAAAAGAGAATTTCCCCAAATAGATAACCAGTCATCCTAATTTAATGAATAGTCCATTTTTCTCCTCAATTTTATTTTTAATTTTTTTTTTTAAATAGTGGTTGGAGGGTACTTTGAAGATTTTATTTATTTATTTGACAGAGAGAGACACAGCGAGAGAGGGAACACAAGCAGGGCGAGTGGGAGAGGGAGAAGCAGGCTTCCCGCGGAGCAGGGAGCCCGATGCAGGGCTCGACCCCAGGACCCTGGGATCACGACCTGAGCCGAAGGCAAACGCTTAACGACTGAGCCACCCAGGTGCCCCTCCTCCTTAATTTTAAATGTTACCTTTAACATAAAGTAAATGGTTTGATATATGTCAGAGCTATCTCTGAAGTATCACTTTCCATTGATTTGATTTGGGTTTCAAATATCAGATGTTCTAGATTATTATAGTTCTTTTTAGTGTATCTTAATACCTGGTAGGCCAATCTTATGGGAAAAAATAGTATCTTATTGAGCTTTATTTTGCACATGCCCATTGCCATTAAGGTTGAGCATCTTTTCATGTTTCTTGGCCATTCAAGTTTTCTCTTTTAAGGATGTCTGATTCATGCCCTTCACTCATTTGTTGATGATATATATTGAAGCATTGCTTCTTCCAAGTTTTTCAAATTTATGGCGCCACTCATAAGAAAGAAGTTTTTAATTTAGATGCAGTTAAAATTTCTATCTTTCCCTCTATGGTTTTTAATATTTTGCTAATAAGTTTCTTTCCCTTCTCTCAAAGATTGTCAAACTCTTTTCCCATATTTTCTTTTTTTAAATAATTTTTTTAAGGATTTTTATTTATTTATTGAGAGAGAGAATGATAGAGAGAGAGCATGAGAGGGAGGAGGGTCAGCGGGAGAAGCAGGCTCCCTCTAGGGAGCCTGACACAGGACTTGATCCCAGGACTCCAGGATCATGACCTGAGCCGAAGGCAGTCGCTTAACCAACGGAGCCACCCAGGCGCCCTCCCGTATTTTCTTCATTGTCTTCAATGTGTGGGTACTAGTCCATCCAAAGGAGAGAGAAAGTATAAAGGGTGAGAGATTTCTTTGCCAACCCAGAGGGGATGGCAACATAGGACAAGTGGAGGATGAAGACTTTAGCTACGCATGTCACATGTGAAGAGGGTGAGTTAGAAAAGACAAAATCCTTTTGAGTCTACAGCTGACATCTCCAGTTGACTGTGGGTTCTTAATGGATTGACATAAACTACTCACATCTGACTGAAGCTCTCCTGGTAACTTCATCTGGATTCCTTATCTGTGCATGATAGTCTAATGGTAAGGCCCCTCAGTTATGGCTGTACCACTCTTCCCCACCATAATCAGGGGTGTGGGGAGGGGAGGCACAGGACACTTAGTAACTTGCCGGGCTCAGACCATGGTGGTGGAAGATATGAAGTTAAAACCTAGCTTCCTGTAGTCCTTTGACCCTAGCCATTTTGCCTCTTCAACAACTTCTAACGTAACATGAGTTATTTCTCCTGTATCTCCCTCACTGCAAATTTCACACCAGGAGAGAAATACTGAAAAACAATAGAAAAACAATAGCCTAAAATGAGGGAAGCTCTTGAAAACTTTTGGTAAGGTTAGGGTTTGGTGAGAACTGTACTTTGTAGAGAACTGTAGGTCAAATTTCATAAAGGGAGTGCATGTGGGGGGAAGTGGTGGTGATGTAGGAAATGGTTGGGGTCCAGAGCCGAAGGGCAATAAAGAATTCTTGAGACTTGTTCAGTGAAAAATGTGGTTTTATTAAAGAACAGGGACAGGACCTGTGGGCAGAAAGAGCTGCATTGGGATCAAGAGGTTGGGCCATTATATACCTTCAAGTTGGGAGGGGGTTAGGGACAGCACAAGCCTCCAAGGTATTTTGGAAAGGTTTTCAGGACCCTGAGGGCTCTAGCTATTATTAGGGAAAGGTCATTTATTACTATTTAGTAAAAACTGTCATGAGACCCTTCAGATATATATCAGTGGGTCCTATGCCTGGAGGATAATTGTTAACCTGTATCTTGGGGGACAGAGATAAAGAAGTTTCCAAAGGAATTTTTGTATGTTAAAGTAGACTCACAGGATCCTGAGGTCAGGCTAAGATTTGCTCTTAGCAAAGTATCAAGATGGAGGCAGCTGACTTCCTAGAGGAATGTCACTCTGCCTATTTCAAGGACTTGTCAATGGGTTATAAGTAGTGAGGAAATTTAATAATTTTTCTTCTGCCTTTGTTTCCCACATCAGTAGAACACAGGAAGGAATGGCCCAAGGAAGGCAGAAATTAAGCCATGGTTTGATCCAAAAGGATGAGAAGTAATGTTAATCAACAGAACTCTTCTTGGTAGCTGACTAGATAGGAAGGCAACCAAAGAGAGGGAGTCTGGGTTCCTCAAAGAAGGAAATCAATGTTAACATAATCAGGGGAGACTTGGTGAGGACTGACTCTGCGGGTAAAAGTGGATTTGTCTTTGAAGTGTGGGTGTGACACGTTGTAAAGATGACCAGCAGGAAAGTGGAGGGAGGTTAAGGCTGGAGACATTGTTTTAGTCGTCCAGATGGAGGCAAAAATTGAATCTCAAAGGTACTACAAATACAGAGAGAAGATCATAGGAAAAACCTGTATCTAGGGGACAAAAAGTAAAAGGAAAGCTGAGAAGGCAGAGGTATTCAGAGAGAGAGGAGAACCAGTAAGTTGGTGTGATGGGAAGAAATTAGGACTAAGAAAAACTGTTTAGGACTGGTAACCCAAATACTGACAGGCACTGTGGTTTATCTGGGAAATGGACAGTGTCACCTATTCTGGAATTAATTCTTTAAAACATAGCCCAGGGATGCCTGAGTGGCTCAGTCAGTTAAGCACCTGCCTTCAGCTCAGGTCATGATCCCAGGGTTCTGGGATAGAGTCCCTGCATCATGCTCCCTGATCAGTGGGGAGCCTTCTTCTCCCTCTGCCTGCCGCTCCCCCTGCTTGTGCTCTCTCTCTGACAAATAAATAAAATTGTTAGAAAGAAAGAAGGAAAGAAAGAAAAAGAAAGAAAGAAAGAAAGAAGAAAAAGAAAGAAAGAAAGAAAGAAAGAAAAGAAAGAAAGAAAGAAAGAAAAAGAAAGAAAGAAAGA